AAAAAAAAAAAAAAAAACGATTTCTTTTTTTTTTTTTTTTTCCCCTTTCCTAGAAACGTATGCTTAGCCTGGCGGCGGGGCTAGTAAAGCATGGCGGGCCGCCAGGCTTATAATACACTGGGGGAAACCCTGAACTGTAGTTACAGGAAATGAAGGTTGTTTTGACTTAACAGGGCATGATACTTTTTTCTCATTTTGTTCTTAAAACACATTTGTAAATATATTCCCTATTCTGTCCACTTTCCAATTATGCGTTATTTGTGTTGGTCTATCACATAAAATCCCAGTTAAATATATTGAAGTTTGTGGTTGTAGCATGAGAAAATGTAAAAAAATTCAGTGACCTTAAATACTTCTTGAAATCCCTGCATTGTACTTGTCTGGATGAATAAAGCAATGCTGTGACTTAATGGCATTTACACATATCCTGTTGTGAAATAAGTGACAGTGATTTTGTGATTCTTGGTCTAAAGCTGCTCTACATTTGAATTTGAAGCACACAATCTTATAAACTTACAGCTCCTCTGACAAATGCTGAAGGTCCTCTCAAGCTCAACAGCCTCTTGCGTTCACTTTCCCCATTTGTGCCAACCAGCTTAAGGAAGACATTGTTGAAAGTGGTGGCAGCGGTGCGATTGGCGGTGTACACAGTTACTTCATAATCCACCATTTTTGCTGTTGAAAATTGATCCAAAGACACAGACAAATTCAATTGATATAATAACTACAAATAGAAGATTCTTGTTTGTTTCTGTTTTTCAGCAACTTTTGAATGTATTAGTCTTACCTCTGCTAATGAGATCACAAAGTGTCCTGAAGAGATGCTGTGTTAATGCAACTTAGCGCCACTGATCTCTTTATATACACACGTTTTCAATGGGAGTGTTTGTTCCGCACCAAGAAAAAAGCTTTGGTGATGAAACTATGTGGAAGATTTATTACCTTCCACCTCTCATCTTTACCGTTTTTCCTGTTCTTATTTGAGCATGTTTGACATGAACCCCAACGTGTTCATGTCTGAACACGTTGGGGTTTACATGCCTATTGAGATGTGGATAACATCAATAACTCATGCATGTCACTGCAGAGTGACACATTGATAACAAAAACCATATTTATTTTTCCCAGAACAACAAAACAAACTGAGCGCACCATGTATTTTTTTATTTTTTATTTATTTATTTTTTTACTGTTTTTCACACCAAACCACATTTAGAGTAAACAACACACATCTTGGATGTAAAAATATTTCTCTGCATAGTTATTTGATCAAAATCCCTTCTCACTCACAAAAAAGAATTTAGCAAGAACTCTACAAGTTGTAGGGCGGTCTAGTAAAAAGTCAACAGAAGGATGACTTATATAATCTGGTGCAGATCTTTTGGCGACATTATAAAACTCTTTATTTCATCATTTAGGAAAAAAAAACTTGATGTTTAATACCTGTAATGCAATATCTGACAGTTATGTCATATTTGGCAAAGTACAGAGGTGACATATCATTTAAATGTAACCTGTTCTTGACCTATAATGTTTAGAGAGGGTTTTGGATGCTGTTTAATCTAGAAACCATAAAAACTGCTGAACAAAAGAGAAAACTAGTCTGCAGTCTAAAACCAAACTTCCAGGTTACATAACTCAATTTTCTGGTGAAAATGGAGTAACTGTCGCTCTGTTGTGCAAATACCTGTGATAAAATAACTGAAAAAGTGCTTAACATACCACAAGCTTCTGACACACATTTTTACTCTGTCCAGCTGAATTGTTGACTGACCACCTGTGTTGTTCAGCACTGCTAAAGCACATACCAACTGAATGTTCTTCAATCCACTGATTTCAACAAATAGAAACAACATGCAAATTCAATATACTATTAGATGAAACAGATGTTGGTTTCATTTGGTGTCTTATTGGATATTTAGCTCTGGATCAAAATCTTATGACAGGGGAACAAATAAATAATACACACAACGCACATGTAGCATCAGTATTGATTTAAAAACATATCAGTTTCATGAATTATAATGTCATTTTTATCAGTCTTCGATTGTTTATTGACATCACAATAAACAAATTACAACGCAAAATATTAGAAAACTATCATTCCCACAATGCAGACAAAGCAACAAATAGAACAACTTAAAAGATCAGAATCTTTACAAAAAGTTTAAAAGTCTGTAAGTGCAATAAACATAAAGTCGGGGGAGCGAAGTCTGAGGTTTTTGCTCTGCATATTTAATGGCTGTGGCAATATTTTTCAGAGTGCAACCTGGTTGCGTTTGTGATTTAAATGCAGTGTTTAAATGCAACGTTTCTGTGCTTGTATACATTAAATGCTAAAAGGTGACCCAAACCTCTGCAAATAAAGACAGAGGTTTTTGAGAAAAAGTCTGAGAAAAAAAAAATCTGTAACCAACTGATTTAAAAGTTGCAACAGTAACAACATTTTAGATTGAACAATATCCTACACAGTTCATTAAGACTTTCTTTGTCAAAAAACCCCCCAAAACATTATGGTCTCAGATGTTGGCGTACTGTGATTTCATGGATGTTACATGCTCAACCAAGATTTTGATTTTGTTGTACTGGTGAAACAAACTTAAGTTTTCAAATAATATTAGTGTTCTCACAATAACTTAAAACTAAAGAAAGCAATCAAATACAATTTATTTTAAATTTGGTTTTGAAGAAAAGTGTGACTATTAACGTTAATATGGTGCCAACTTGGTGGCACCATATTATACCATATCTATTCTAAAATTTAAATGTCTCAGATTTGTCTCAAGCACAAAAAAATCCAATATGTAGTCATTACAAATGGATAAGAAGACCAAAAATGTCTTGATTTTACTAAAACAAATTACAAAAATAAATTACAGCTTTTTGGTTGTAATAGTGAACAGGCAACCTAAAGTCTCATTTTAGCCTGCTGAACATGCCTCTTACTACAACTAGCTTATCAAGTTTTTTTTACTTTTTAAGGCAATTTTGCAAACTGTGATTAAATCATGTTCTAAGTTTCACTTGAATCTAAAGGGAAATGCTCTTGACTCAAAACTCTGGCTGTGAAAGCTGTAGCAACAAAAACCTTTATGGAAATAACTTAGTGATGTTCGGAAAGATAATGAGAAGGAATGCTAAAGGACAAATCAAAGCACACTACATCTAAACTTTGTACTTTAGTACTAAGCACAGATGCTTAAAGCCCAGGCATGTGTCTTTGGATGACTTTTCTCTTAACACAGCAAATAATTTCATCAGCTTGACTTAACGGAAGAACTAATTATACATTCATTCTTCTTGATTTTGTTTGTTTGGCTGCAAAAGTGTAAGCAAATGTGTAAGTGAAATGCACAATAATTGTTTTCTGCTTAAAAACATTTTTATTTGCACTTTGCCATAGATTCTTACACAGGTATTTTGAAGCAACAGATTAGAGAAACTCACTTTCTAATTTCCATAGGGTCGGTACACTCACTCGTCTGACTCCATATTTCTCTGCATGCATCCCAAATAATAACATTCCATTCAAATATACATTATACATTTAAGCAAAACTAATAAAATTTAAAAAGAATTATCATGTCCCCTCTGCTTCCCCTTCTCCAACATGTTCATAAAGGTTCCAATAATACACCTAAAATAACATGAAGCACATCAGTGTGGGATTATTATCAACTATGAAAACTGAGAGGAAACTTCTCTTACTTCCCTAAATAGCCACACTGTTTTCTACCTCCTCTGGATCCAAGTATGTGTACGGCACTTCCAGAGTTTTGTTTCTCTCTTTGATTGCTGCACTCAACGCCGCCAGCTCCTTTTTA